CTCCGTCAACATTTTTTAAAAATAGAAAGCTCAGAAAAGACCCACTTTATGGCTCTGCAGAGCAGAGGGTGAAGGACGGTATTTTCATTAAATGGCACTAGAACCTTTGATCCATATGGAAAAATAATTACCTTTTCTTGTAATACCCAAAAAATCAAGTCCAGATGAGTCGTACTTCTAAATGTTACAAGTGAAACAATAAGGCTTCTAGAAAATAACAGAGAAAAATATCTTCATGCCCTCAGAGTAGAAAAAGATTTCTACTTTTAAACATTTTTTTTTAATGTTTATTTATTTTGAGAGAGAGAGAGCAAGCAGGGGAGGGGCAGAGAGAGAGAGAAGCTTAAGCAGGTTCCGCTGCTGTCAGCACAGAGCCCAACACAGGGCTTGACTTCACAAACAGTGAGATCATGACCCAAGCAGAGATCAGGAGTCAGATGCTTAAGGGGCACCTGGGTGGCTCAGTCGGTTAAGCATCCGACTTCGGCTCAAGTCATGATCTCACGGTTCGTGGGTTCAAGACCCACATTGGGCTCTGTGCTGACAGCTCAGAGCCTGGAGCCTGCTTCGGATTCTGTGTCTCCCTCTCTCTCTGACCCTCCCCTGCTCACGCTGTCTCTATCTCTCTCTCTAAGAAATAAATAAAACATTACAAAAAAAAAAAAAAGGAGTCAGATGCTTAACTGACTATGCCACCCAGGCACCCCTCAAGTTAAGAATTTCTGTTCACTGGAAGATACCATTATGAATATGAAAAGACAAGCCTCTGTCCAGGAAGACCGTGGTACTCTACATAACCAAAAAGGGTTTGTATACAGAATGCATTTTTTTTTAAATTTTTTAAGTAGGCACAGAGTACCATGTGGGGCTTGAACTCATAACCCTGAGATAAAGACCTGAGCTCAGACTAAAACTCAGCCACTTAACTGACTGAGCCACCCAGGTGTCCCAGGATGTATTTAAAAAAATTTTTAAACCCTACAATCAATAAGAAAGAGACCAAAAAAAAAGAAAAAAGAAAAAGAAAGAAAATTTGGGTTCTTGGGTGCTCAGTCAGCTAAGCGTCCTTCTTTGGCACCAGTCATGATGTCAAGGTTTGTGGGTTCAAGCCCTGCTATGTCAGGCTCTGTGCTGACAGCTCTGTGCTGACAGCTCAGAGCCTGACACCTGGTTTGGATTCTGTGTTCCCCTCTCTCTCTCTGCCCCTCCCCCACTCGTGCTATCTCTCTCCTTCAAAAATAAGCAAACATTTTTTTAAAATAATAATAAAATATTTTTAGAAATAGAAAATTAATAAAGAGACTGAATAGGCTCATCACAGAAGATAATATCGGGGGGGCCTGGGTGGCTCAGTCGGTTAAGTGTCCGACTTTGGCTCAGGTTGTGATCTCACAGTTCGTGAGTTCCAGCCCCAAATTGGGCTCTGTGCTAACATCTGGGAGCCTGGAGCCTGCTTCGGATTCTGTGTCTCCCTCTCTCTCTTCCCCTTCCCTGCTCGTACTCTGTCTCTCTCTCTCAAAAATAAATAAGCATTTAAAAAATTAATAAAAAAGACAATATCCAAATGACACAATAAGCAAATAAGAAGGTACTCAATCCCCAGGAAATTCACATTAAAACCCCAGTGAGATACCACTACACTCCCCCAAGAATGGCTACATTTTTAAACAGACAATGCCAAGCGGAAAAAATATATAGACCAATGGGAATCCCCATAACACAGAAAGTAGGAATACAAACTGAAAATAATTTGGCATCATTTACTAAAGACAGAAATACACCCACTCTTTGACTTAGCAATTGCACATCCAGGTTCAGAAGCGTGTAACATGAAAATGTACGGTCAAGAACGTTTCCAACTGTGATCCTTACAGTAGCCAAAAATTAGAAATAACCCCAATATCCATCTACAGCAAAACGGATAAATGCACAGTGACATTCATTGAATGTAACATTATGTAGCAATAGAAAGAAATAAGTGATACCTGAGTGCAAACACATAACTGAATCTCACAAACATAATATTGAATGAAAGAAGTCAGACAAAATACAGTGTTTAGGAAGACATTTACTCAGTGTAAAGGAAGGACATGATGATCACAAATTCAGGAGAGTAATTACCTCTGAGGACTAGAGAAGAGGTAAGTTATGGGTCAGGATGGGCTGGGGAGGTGGGGTGGCGTTGGGCAGGCAGTGTTTTAATTCCACGACACGGGTGGTTCTTACGATAAATCACAAAGACGGAACTTATATACTTGAAGTCTATTTCAAAATGATTTTTTAAATTAAGATCTGAGGGGGCACTTGGGTGGCTCAGTCGCTTAAGCGTCCGACTTTGGCTCTGGTCATGATCTCACGGTTCATGGGTTCGAGCCCCGCGTCGGGCTCTGTGCTGACAGCTGGGGGCCTGCTTGGGAGTCACTCTCTGACCCTCCCCCGCTTGCACTTTCTGTCTCTTAAATAAAAAAAAAAGTAAATAATAAAGAAATAAAATGAAGATATAAGGATGCGAGGGAAGGGAGTGGGGTGGGGTGGGCAGAAATGGAGCAAAAGTTGCTAAAAGGAGGGGTGGGGTGGGAATGAGTGGGAGGGTGGTGTGCATGTGTGAAGATAATGGATCACTAATGATGGATCGTTAGGTCATGTGAAGGCCTTAGCAGAACAACCCAGGGCCTGGAAAAACAGCACAGATGGCCTGCACCTATCACAAAAGTCAATGGCACCATCGGCCGGTGACTTTTAGGCTGTAATTAGCAAACTGGCCTTCGTCTCCCTCAGGCCGAACGTAAGCATCTGAAACCAGAACAAAACCATTCTTTCCCACGTTCCTAAAACCCTTCAAAAATTATACATGTAAAAGAAGCATTTATTTCAGAGATAAACAATGCAAATTGAAAATCGAAGCAGGCCAAGCGTTTCGCAGGCAGCAGAGACCTTGACCTGCTACCCATTGCTGGTGTCTGGCTGCAACGAGGCATTTGCTGTAACTTGGCAAAACTTCTCTCCCTTTCTCGTTGACTTCCGGGCACGTTCGACAAGCCCCACCCTCTGTGGGCCGTGGGTTCTACTCCCCTCCTCCTCTCTCTGCAGTGGAGAAGCCACCAGGCCACTCACAGCAGGCCGTGGATGCAAAGTTGGCCCAGTCCAACTTCAAATACCTCCTCCCAGACCTCCTCCTGAGCCTGTATTCCAACCCGCCTTTCGGTCCTGTCATCAGAGATGGGGTGGCCTGGGGAAGACTGGGAGCCAGGAAGTCCCATGAGGTGCTGGGGAAGAAACGGGGTCCCGCCAGGGGCCAGAAGTTGGTACACTGAGCTGAGAGGCACAGCCTGGCTGAAGTTTGAGCCAAGTCAGGAGTCGGCAGAGTGATGTTAGGAGGTCAGGTTAGGAGGCACCCTGCTTTTATTTAATGTCACCTTTTATCCCCTGCTCTTGTTTGTTTTTTTTTTTTTAATTTTTTTATAGTTATTTATTTTTGAGACAGAGAGAGACAGAGCATGAGCAGGGGAGGGGCAGAGAGAGAGGGAGACACAGAATCCAAAGCAGGCTGCAGCTCTGAGCTGTCTGCACAGAGCCTGACGCAGGGTTTGAACCCACGAGCAGTGAGATCATGACCTGAGCCTAAGTCAGACGCTTAATCGACTGAGCCACCCACATGCCCCTCCCTGCTCTTGTTTTTAAATAAGCAACTTGAAGGGCTCCTGGGTGGCTCAGTCAGTTAAGTGTCCAACTTCGGCTCAGGTCATGACTTTGCAGTCCGTGAGTTCGAGCCCCGCATCGGGCTCTGTGCTGACAGCTCGCTCAGAGCCTGGAGCCTGTTTTGAATTCTATGTCTCCCTCTCCCTCTGACCCTCCCCTGCTCATGCTGTCTCTCTCTCAGAAATAAATTAAACATTAAGGGGTGCCTGTGTGGCTTAGTCGGTTAAGCGTCTGACTTTCGCTTGGGTCATGATCTCGCAGTTCGTGGGTTCGGGCCCCGCGTCGGGCTCTGTGCTGACTGCCGGCTCAGAGCCTGGAGCCTGTTTAATTCTATGTCTCCCTCTCCCTCTGACCCTCCCCTGCTCATGCTGTCTCTCTCTCACTCTCTGTCTCTCTCTCTCCTAGAAATAAATAAAAAAAAAAAATTAAACAAAAAAAAAAAAAAACATTAAATTTTTTTAAATAATAAATTTTAAATAAGCAACTTGAATATTCATTTTTTTAAATCCATGGTTCATGTGGCTGTTGATGATCTTTATCCCTATAGGTTCCTATAGGTTCTTTTTTTCTTTTCTTTTTTAGAGAGAGAACACAAGCAGGGAAGGGGCAGAGAGAGAGGGAGAGAGAGAATCTTAAGCAGGCTCCACCCTCAATGCGGAGCCGGACGTGGGCTCAATACCACAACCCAGAGATCATGACCTGAGCTGAAATCAAGAGCCGAGTGCTCAACTGACTGAGCCCCCCAGGCTCCTGGGTTCCTGTAGATTCTTAATAGTGAAAGCACTTATCAGTCTTAGCTTAACATTCTCTGGGTGCTGAGCTCTGTCCAGAGCCTGTGCATCTATGGGGGGGGCACACAGCACACTCCCCCCAAACCCCCCCTCTGCTGCCCAGAAGAAAACACAGATATATTGTGTAGGGGTATGTGTGTGTGTGTGTGTGTGTGTGTGTGTGTGTGTGTGTGTTTGTTTTCTTGTTTGAGCAGAATTGTTGCCTTGATGGCACAATAGAATCAACTGACCATTTTTTTAAAGGTATCCATGCCCGAGCCCTCTGCAAAGTGAATCGGGATCTGAGCATTGGGGCTTGGACATCAGTACATTGGACAGAGTCCCACGGGGGGACCGTGGGACCAGCATTGAGGCCACTCCAGGAAAAGACTGCCAGACACCCTGGGAATCCCCAAACAAACAGGTGGCCTGAGAAGGACGTGCCCCTCCCAGTAGCTGGGCGTGTGCGCTGTCACTTGGACCCTGGACTCTCCCCTTCAGGGACACCTGCTGGCCCCCCCGGACCATTACCTGACCGGTCTCTGTGACCCCCCATGCTTCCTCGGTGACTCTCCTGCCCCGTGCTTAGTTTTGGTCTGCAAAGTTCCCCCGGGTCCTCGATTCCACTTCCCAGATGGTCTTCTTGCTGCTGCCGGCCATCCCCTCTGCCACCTCAGGTGGTCCAGGAGCCTGGGCAGAGAGGGGCATTGTGACATCAGCAGTTGCCATGCCCCATCCCCCAGCCTTGAACTTTCTGCCCTTGTTCTCTTCCTCCTGGGCAAGCCCCACCGGCTCCAAGCACTCAGTCCTCAAACTTCAGTGCCAGAACCTTCCGTCCTGCCCCCTTAAAGAATGCCTACTATGTGCTGAGCGTCAATCAGCACGTGTACACGATCCCATTCGGGGTTTCTGATGGGAAAAGAACAAATGAGATACTGATCTTCCTCATTTTTAACACGCACCTATTCTGTGCCACACCTGGCCAAGCGCAGAGATGGGTGAGACCGATGGGCAGCGTGCTTCCTTCCAGAATCATCTAGAGCTTATTAAGACACCACATACTGGTCCCAGCCGGGACTTTCTGTTCAGTACCTGCTGGGGGGAGCCCTCTCTGACAAGCTCCGTACAGCATTCTTGTGAAACAAAATGCTCTTTGGACGAACAGGAGAGAGAACCGCCGTCACCAAGAAGCTGTGTCGAATCAGCCCCCTCTCCCTCCATTCCAGTGACCTGTCTGTGTTTGCAAAGGGGTGCTTGTGCACCTTCTAACCTCACCCATGACCTCCAGTCTGGAGGATCCTCCAAGATTCAAAGAGGGGAGATTCAGAGCTGGCTGGGAAACAAGGATCATTGCCAATGTCAACATGGGACAGCTTCCGGGAGCCGGGCAGGACGGGGCTATTATTACAGACCCATCTTGCCCCTGCTGGTGGTCGCTGCCCCATGACATGAGCAACCTTGACTGTCCACAAGCCAAAGCCCCACTCAGACCCTTCGCTGTCTCCATCGTTCTCCAAAAGACTTGCTCTGTCTTCTCCATCACCCTTCTCTCTAGACACTGGATCTTCACGTCTTTCCCACCCCATGACTCCCACGCCAGTGGGGCCGTGGCTCCAGCCTCCCTCGGGTGCCATGGAGGACACTCCAAGCAAGGATGGAGCGAGCTGGGCCTGGCCGTTCGCAGACGCTGTAGGGCATGCGTGAGCAAGGGAGGAGATGAGGTCTAAGGCAGTCCCATCCTCTCTCCTGCTGAGCCTGAGGAAGACGACGGGCACCTTTGTGCACAAAGGGCAGGAGCAGGGATGGGTTTGGAGTGGGGTGGAGGGTGGCAGGTGACCTACCCCACGGCTTCACAAGAACCCCCAAAGAAACCTTAAAAGCTTTTGGCAGCTCAAAGGGGTTGTTTGAGTTGCTTGTAAGCCTAGCGCTTCAGGTAACGGGGACTGGAGCCCAGATGGGAGCCAGATCCCTGGACCAATCAGTTAAAGAACCGGAGTGACATTGAGGAGCGACATCAGCTCTGCCACCCGACTGCACATAGACCTACTTCGGGAGGCCATGATGCTAATCGCATCTGTGTCCGTGTTGCTCGTGGTGAAACGCCAAGTTTCGGAAAGAAAATCTATACCCCGAGTTATTTTCCTCCCACAGGGCTTGCCTGGCCTTTGTCGGCCGTAGGGAGGTGCATTTTTCCCTCCTCTGTGGGCAGCAAATTCCCCGCGAGTCAGCAGATGGGCCTCTGGGCTCGCCCACCGGCCTCTATGAAGCAGCCGAGCGCAGTGAGTGTGCAGTGTGTCTCTGGGGCACCCTGGTGCCCACCAGCCTGGAGATGCCCATGGGCGTGCCTCAGTGTGCCTCGCCAGCCGGTCACTGGCCCTCCTTGTCACCTCCCCACAGTCAGGTGCTGAGCACGGCTCCTTCCCTTCATTCAGGGAAGGATGAGTTAAGGCACCCAGGGTCAAGAGCTGGCTCTCGGTCACCTGTGCACTGTCCTCGAGTTTTCACCCCCTAAGTGGGCCAGTGTTCAAAATCTCCTGCACAGACCTGACAGGTCGGTTCTACTATTTTAATCCCCATTTCACAGATGAAGAAACTGAGACAGAGAAGTCGACTGAGCGACCCATGGACACACAGTTCCTCAGTAGGACAATCAGGTGTGCCAACTCCAGACGTGCACTGTTAAGAAGGGGAAACCCAGCCGGCTCCCTGCATCGGTTCAATGTGAGAACAAGCTCTGAGTCCGTGGTGGGCTTTCCCAGACCCCAACCCCTACAACCCCTACATGTGCTACTCTTTCCCCTCACACCTCCCCAGATCACCGGCCAAATGGACTCAGATATATCCCTTTGGCCCACACACTTGGATTTTCTCTGAAAACTGAAAAGAAAACCAGGGAAAAATCACTGCTTTGAGTCAGAAGTTTATCAGCTCTCCTTGAGGGTCCCCAACTTGCCTTCCCGGATGTTAAATACCAGCACACATCACCCTGTCCTACTAATGTACCCTACAGCCCGGTACCTCACGTTGAATAAGTAAAAAATGGACATACAATCAAATCAGGCAGTCCACCACCTAGACTCTGGCCTGTGGCATGGCCTGGAATATTCTAGTTCTTTTGAGAACAGACATAGCAAGTTAAGAAAGAACTGGCACTTGGCAACAGATGCCAAAACTTAAAGCATGCCCTTCAGGCCCTCATAAAGGCCAGGAGAAGTCACGGAAACCCAAGTGACGTCTTTGCTTTGCAATCGGATGATATAACTTCTATTGCAGATTCCCCTTTTCTCATCTTGTGTTAGAAGAAACAGTTGCCTACAGTCTAGAGTGTGCTAATGACATCCCCATGGTGTCCTTTAACTAGTTCTCCTGTCCCCTGTGAATCGGCCGTAAGATCTAGAGCCTGGACCAGGTCCGGTTTTGCTTTTCCATAAACGATGTCATAAATATTAGTAGGAACATAATGTGAGCTGTCTCTCCTTTCGTGATGATAGCAGCTGTTAAGGATTGCTGTCGAGAAAAGGTGTTTCATGAAGAGCTTCAAATTGGTGATATCCTAATTCCAACCTTTCACCGTCATTTTTTACGCAGCATACATCTAGGAGAAGATGTTTCTCGTCAGCTCTTTGGTTATGCTGAGGCGTGGTACCCGGGCGAAGCGGGACAAATCCTGAATTTTTTTCCTCTCATTTATCAGTCTTCAAAATAATAAACTGGATGCTTTGCATGCTCTAAAAGTGACCGGAGTTACTGGGTTCTGTGGAGCGCTTATAAATGTAAAAAAATTTGAAGTGTTTCAATCCATTGCAGCTCTTGTCCCTAACAAGGTTCACATTGTCTCCTTTCTAGCCCCTCGGAGCCTTTTCAAGCTGGTTCGTGAGTCCTTTTGATATGAACGTGGATGTGTTCGAAAGCTCCCTTGATGTTTTTATGACAGGCTGTGCTGGGTGCACTGAAAACCTGAAATCATTTCTCTAAGGAGCCCTCTCTCTTTGTGCAGAATGGTTGATGGAGGCTCGCTCCCACGGCTGGGTTTGGCCACCTCCTCAGCCCCTCTCAGATGTTCTCCGCTGGCCCCCCATGCCGGGCTCTGCCAAGGACACCCCAGCGTGCTCCAAAACATAGCCCCTCAAGGCAGATTTCCAGAGATCCGTCGCTGTGCTGCAAACCACACTTATTTCGCTTGGGCACTTTTGGGTCTGGAATTCAAGGAGGGTTCAATGGGACAGTTCTCTAACCCATGTGGCATCAGCCAGGGTGGTGGGACTGGAAGGGACATTTCCAAGATAACTTCTTTGTTACTTATCTGGCATCTTGCTGCTCCTTAGTCTCTCCCTTCCTTTCTCTCTCTCTTTCCATGGTGTCTCATCTTCCAGAACTCTCTATGTGGCTTGGGCTCCTCACCAGCAGGGTAGTCACAAAAGGCAGGAGGCAGGAACCACAGTTAAGGGCTTCACCTAGAATTAACACACGTTCACTTCTGTCCTGTTCTATTGGCCAAAGGAGCCATGGCATTTGCCCAGGTTCCCAGGGCTGGTGCGACAGATCCCACTTTCCGGAGAAGCGACAAAGACAAATTGCAGAAGAGCATGTGCGGTGGATGGCCGTGGCTCTCTTCAGAAAACAAAGTCCCTGGCCCAGTAGCCTCCTAGAGTCACAGCCCTGGGGACCACTGAGAATAGCACTCTCTCCTCACTCATTCATTCATCCGCTCAACAAATAATTCCTCAGTTGGGTCGGTAACCCTCGCTATGGACGCAAAATACAGAATTTCTTAGAAAATGTGAAAGGTTTGGAAACAATTTCCATTTTTTTTTAATTGAATTTCCCGTTAATGCCCAGCTTATTCTTTTTAATCTCATGAAAAGCAAACCTTGCCTGTCTCCGGCAAACTCCTATATCACCTCCTCTAGGAAGCCTTTCGTGATCTCCCTTCAGGCATAACTGGTAGCTCCCACAGCACCTTGTTCACACACGAGCAGTGCACTGCTTATATCTGATTTGTAGCCGAGTTCACATTCACTCCAAACAAAGATTGCCTTTCTCACCACCCTTGCAACTAGAGGCCATGGAGACTAAGTTCTGGCCCATGAAATGTAAGCAGAAGTGGTATGTGCAACTTTCAGGAAAGGTCCCTGAAGAAGTATATGTTTTCCTTTTCTTTCCTCTTTCTTGCCACCTAGAATACAGGCGTGAGAGCTGGAGCTACAGCAGCCACTTTGTACCATATGATGACTTTGGGAATGGAAGCCACTCCTATCAGAAGAACAAGATAAAAAGCTTGAGTTCTTGAAACTGTGGAGGGCCACTCCCACCCTGCAGTCAGTATATCAGGGTTTTGACATGAGACAGAAATGAACTTCTATAACGAACTTGTATCTGGCTTAAGCCACTGTTTGGGATTTTTTGCCACTCACAATTCAACTTAATCCTAACTGATAAAACTCCTACCAAGGGAGGGGAGAGGCAAAATGCAATGCCCACGTCTTCTCCACCGAACCATGTACAGAACTCCCAGCTAGTGGTGGGGAATACAAATTCTACCACTGTAATTCTACTTCCCAGTCAGGAGAATGGATAAAGTCAAATGATAACCTCCTGGCCTGAAACTGAATGCATCTGGTGACCTTGTTTATAATGTCAAGTATCTGGAAATGAACTCAATGCTCATCAAAGAGGAGGAAGGAG